ATTTCAATTAATTATAGTCCAATTTCGACTACTGCGGGACCGCTAGTTTGGATTAAAATTTCCATGTCGGAAGCTTTCAAACCAACAACGAGTCGTGCCTTCGTTTGTAGTGAGTGTTCACTCCGTATACGTCTGTTATGAGACGTTTGTACGGCATTACAACCGCGACGGAATGACTCGTTATATTATCATGCATCATATCATGTGTTAAAAATAAAATTCGTATGCATTGCATTCATTTTAATTTATTGCTTTGTGAATTAGAATTCAAATGACCAATATTGTAAACTGGCAATTTCATAGGTAATTTTAGTAAGGTATTGTTACGCGCTGGGGTTCGGGCTAAATAAAATAAAAAATCCGAATTACAAGTTAGCATTGTATTAGCACTTAGAACACTTAAAACACTTTAAAACTCTCAATTCGCTTCTTCCGCTTCGCTTCATGTGATCCGTTCGCTGTTTCGCTTCGAGTAGTTTTTATTTATTTATTTTGATTGCTTAAATGGGTGGACGAGCTCACAGCCCACCTGGTGTTAAGTGGTTACTGGAGCCCATAGACATCTACAACGTAAATGCGCCACCCACCTTGAGATAGAAGTTCTAAGATCTCAGTATAGTTACAACGGCTGCCTTACCCTTCAGACCGAAACGCATTACTGCTTCACGGCAGAAGTAGGCAGGGCGGTGGTACCTACCCGTGCGGACTCACAAGAGGTCCTACCACCAGTAAAAAGTTCCGATTACCCTTTTATAGCTACATCCCTAGAATCATAGAGAATATTCCACACGTTTCGAGTACTGCGTTTCCGCTATCTGACAATAGATGGCGTTGTACTTCTCGAGCATTCTAGGTGCTACCAAATCTTTCGATATTCGTGCGACTATTCAGCGATAGATGGCGTTACTCTTACCGGCGTAATAGTATGTTAGATTAAGTAGGTTTTATAGGTTAATTCTGTTTAGGTAATTTCATTTAAGCCTATTATTTTCATTATTTGTAGCAAAGTACTTCATTTTAATACTTTTGACAACTCCGTCGATGACTTGCTGTTTAATTCTCTACAACCGTAATTCCTAATAAAACCTTATCTAAATTTACATAGCATTCTTCGTAAAAACCACAAATAATTCTTACGTGTTAATATTTTTTTTATCACGAATCACATTATTATATTTATCTATTTTATCAAACGCCGGTAGAAAAATTGTGATAACCATCTTAAAAGTAGTACATATACGAAGCAATTATTAATCCATTTTAATATGTATGTATACAAAGCTCTGCTATATACATAGTTACATTTTTACGGCCAAACCGCTGATGCGGAAGTAGTTTGAACCTTGACAAAGAATAGTAGCTTTCATTCTACAGCCGGTTTTTACTTATTGCTTAGGTGGGTAGATGAGCTCACGGTCCACCTGATGTTAAGTGGTCACAGGAACCCATAGACACCTACGACGTAAATGCCGCCACCTACCTCGAGCAATAAGTTCTAAGGTCTCAGTATAGTTACAACGACTGCCCCACCCTTTAAACCGAAACGCATTACTGCTACACAGCAGAATGTGGTGCATCGCTCAACACGAATGCACCGGACGTCTTATCCTTTAGGCCACGATGACTTCCGAGCTTGGGTCTCCCACGCCATACAAGGGGCAGTTCATGTGGGCAAGGCATATGCGGAAACCTAGTAAAATAAAACTGTATTATCTTCTTCATATTCTTAAGGATTCATCTAATAGTCTTAAGATATGGTTTTCGAGTTCTATGTATTGTCGGTCCAACGATCGTATTTTTCTTTATTGCTTAGATTTATGCAATAAAAAAAATTAAAAAAAAGATGGATGGACGAACTCACAGCCCACTTGGTGTCAAGTGGTTACTGGAGCCCATACACATCTGGGAGTCGACAATGAACGGTCCCGTCGACGTCGAAGCGGTGGCGCTGTGGTTTCGAGGGGCGATGACGCAGATCTGCGACGCGTCCATGCCCCGTGTCCACCAACAGTCCGCAAGGCGCCAGGTGTACTGGTGGACCGACGAGATCGCGCGGCTGCGCGTTGAGTGCGTCGCGGCTCGCCGCCGGTACACGCGATACCGGAGACGACGTCGACGGGATTCCGTCGAGGAAGACGCGCTGTATGAGGCGTACCGCGCGTCTAAGGAGACTCTGTGGCTGGCCATCGGCGACTCTAAGTCGCGTGCCAGGGAGGAGCTGCTGGGGTCCCTAGATCGGGATCCGTGGGGGCGCCCCTACCGTTGGGTACGGGGCAAGTTGCGTGCCTGGGCGCCTCCATTGGCGCAAAGCATGCAACCCCAGTTGCTAGAAGCGGTTGTATCGGCCCTCTTCCCTGAGCGAGCGGAATACGTTTCCCCGGCGATGGCTTCACCCTCAGCCACAGACTCTCGAGAAGAGGAAAGCACCGATGTCCCCGAGGTGACGCAAGCAGAAATGAGAGCGGCCGTGTCGCGACTCCGGTCTAAGAACACGGCCCCGGGACCCGACGGAGTTCCTGGTCGAGCACTCGTCCTGGCTCTGAAGGAGCTAGAGCCCCAGCTGAGGGGGCTCTTCACGGCATGTCTCGAGCAGGGTCAGTTTCCTAGTGTATGGAAGGAGGGGAAGCTGGTCCTGCTCAGGAAGGAGGGGCGCCCCGCGGACTCGCCGTCCGCGTATCGGCCCATAGTGCTGCTCGATGAGGCGGGCAAACTTTTTGAGCGCATTATCGCAGATCGCCTCGTCAGCCACTTGTGCAGGGAGGGGCCGGACCTGGATGACAACCAATTTGGTTTTCGTCGGGGGCGCTCCACCATAGACGCCATCATGCGCGTGAGGGCCCTGGCGGAGGAGACGGTGTCCCGGGGTGGGGTGGTACTGGCGGTGTCTTTAGACATCTCCAACGCTTTCAACACCCTACCCTGGAGTTGTATTCGGGAGGCTCTGAAATACCATCGCGTGCCTCCCTACCTCCGCCGCACGGTAGGGGCTTATCTGGAGGGTAGATGCGTCACTTATCGGGGACGTGACGGTGCCGGTCGGCACCTCATGTCGTGCGGTGTTCCACAGGGATCGGTCTTGGGACCGCTCCTGTGGAACATCGGCTACGACTGGGTGCTGAGAGGCGAGCTCCCGTCGGGCGCCAACTTGACGTGTTATGCGGACGACACGCTTGTCACTGCCCGGGGGAGCTCGCACAGGGAAGCGACGTTGATAGCCGCGGCTGCGGTGTCACTGGTGGTGAACCGCATCCGGCGCCTGGGCCTGGAGGTGGCCCTAAACAAGTCGGAGGCTATGGTGTTTCATGGCCCCCGACGTGCGCCGGCGCCGGGATCACACATCGTGGTAAGTGGGACCCGGATAGCTGTCGAGTCCACCATGAAGTATCTGGGATTGGTGCTCGACAGCCGATGGGAATTCGGGCCCCACTTCCGGCGGCTGGTGCCCAAGCTGATGGGTGCAGCGGGCGCGCTTTCAACGTTGCTTCCCAATTTGGGGGGCCCGAGCGCCGCCTGTAGGCGGTTGTACGTGGGAATCGTGCGGTCCATGGCCCTGTATGGGGCCCCTGTGTGGGCGATGGACATGACGGCCAGCACACTCGCCATTCTGCGTAAGCCGCAGAGGGTGATGGCCGTCAGAGTCATCCGCGGGTACCGCACGATTTCCTACGAGGCGGCTTGCGTCCTGGCCGGATCCCCGCCCTGGGACCTAGAGGCGAAAGTACTCGCGTCATTATATCGATGGCGCGAGGAAGAGCGGGCACGGGGCTCGAGGCTGGTGCAGCGGCAGATCGCGCTGCGCCGAGAGGAGCTCCGTCTGGCCTTGGTGGCGGAATGGCGGCAAAGGCTTCTGCGCCCTACCGCCGGCCTCGCAACCGTCGAGGCGATCCGGCCAGTACTCGACGACTGGCTCGGGAGAAGGCACGGATCCCTGTCGTTTAGGGTGACACAGGTGCTGTCGGGGCACGGTTGCTTCGGCAAGTACCTGTGCCGCATAGACAGGGAGCCGGACGCTCGGTGCCACCACTGCGTCCACTGCGGGGAGGACACGGCGCAACACACGCTCGCCGAGTGTGTAGCTTGGGAGGAGCAGCGCCGTGTCCTCACAAATGAAGTAGGAAGCGATCTGTCGCTGCCGGCCGTAGTGCGGAGGATGGTCGGCAGCGCAGAGTCGTGGGACGCGGTGGTGTCCTTCTGCGAGGACGTGATGTCGCAGAAGGAAACTGCAGAACGGGAGAGGGAGATCTCGACTCCCTTTCCCGGCCGCAGAAGGCGCACCGGGCGCAGGACAAGGGCGGACAACGCCCTTTTCCGCCCCCCATGAATGGGTCCAGGGGCGAGGGACTTGGGAAAGCCCTCGCCCCCTATTCGATGGACCTGAGACGGAGGCGCATGCGGGTGTCGGCGCGTGCCTCTGAGGCGATGCACGGAGTAGCTGAACGCCTCACTACTCCGTGCAGGAGACGAGGCCTGGATAGACCGGGCCAGCACTGGTGTGGGGCTGCGGAAGAATTTTGGATTCCCGCGGCCCTGCGCGCACGTGTGGGTGGACACCGGGGTGGTTTTAGCCGGTAGGAGTCCGGCACGCCCCTTCGCTTTTCCCTAGGCGAAGGTAGTCCATGAGGATTTCCCCCCGAGACAGAAAAAAAAAAAAAAAAAAAAAAAAATGCTTTATGGTATAAAGCATTTTAGTGAATGGTTCAAGACAGTCCAGTATTTGTGGTTTGCTTTTAGTGAAAATAAAGAGAGATATCGAAATGAATATTTAACTGTTTTGTTGTTTTTTTTTTTCATTTTTATAGCAATCTTTACAATTTACAACAATCTAACTCAACATGGCTGATTAATAAAACAAAACTTAATCATTTTTGGACAAATTTTTTTCAATTTTCCAATAATCCAAATCCTTTTTGGAGATGATATATTTTTTTCTTTTTCCAAATAATCCAAATCATTTTTGGACATAATTTTTATTTTTATTTTTTCCAGTAATCCAAATAGCGTCATTCGTTAGTTTTTCTGTCTGCCGGTAAAAAGAAACACACGATCACGCCGCCTGAAATGAAAATAATACGGGTTTATTTATTAGAAGCCTTGAGAGGCTATATCAGCTTCAACGAACTAGTAGGTGAGCTCACGGGGCTCAAACCTGACGACGTTGCTAACACTGACCCTACTGCAACAGCAGTGCTTCGCAGAATCTACCACTGGATCGGAAACGCGACCCACTGAGAAGATCCTGCGAGAAAATCAGTGGGCTGTGTTTGTGGGTTAGTTTACTCGCCGAGCCATTCGTCGCAAGCGACGGGTTCGACGAGAAGGATGACCAGTGCACGAGCTAATACACTCTTCTTACCTAATTATAATGACGTTTATAAATAAAATTTACGCAATTCAAAGACACTTTGAAAAAAAACATTAGTTAATAAATGATAAAAAAAAAGGGAACGAATCAGGCGCAGTCTACATTAGAATTATATACGTCTAAATGTTGTTACAGCAGTAAGAGTAACGCCATCTATTGTCGAATAGCAGAAACGAATATCAAAAGAACTAGTAAAATCGAGAACGCTCGAAAAGTACAGCGCCATCTATTATCAAATAGGGGAAACATATCTGGCCTTATCGAGAATATTCTCGATAATTGTAGGGATGATGTATCGACTATAAAAGCGTTGCAGAGACGGCACGAAGTTAGTTAGTAATCGAATCTACTCGTTAATACAGTGTTAATTTGCACTTCGGTAGAATTTTTATTTATCCCGAACTCCATCACAGTCTACAGATTTGGCGCAATCATTTCAAAAGGAAATTTTAAAACTTGAAAGCGTTGAAAGTGAATCGCTAGCAGACTGTTGATGTTTCGTGCGACAAAGATAGCTCTCTACAAAGCCGAAGTTTGCCGATTGTTTCTGTCAAACGGCCGATGTGCAGTACTTAACGCCGTGTACTGTACGCAAATCTTCCAGTACTTACTGAATACGAAAGCGGCAGAAATGTAGAAAGTGGGCGTACAATAGTCAGTAATGACGTTTCCGATGATATTCACTCCGGCGAACGAGACGAGCCGTGCTGTCATCATTCCTAAGCTTGTCGCGAGGCCTCTGTAACGAACACAAAACTGAGCTAACATTAAACAAACGCTTCACGGTCGGAAACAGTCTCTTTAAAGCAGATATATGTAACTATACTGAGACTACAGAACTTATATCTCGAGGTGGGTGACGCATTTACGTTGTAGATGACTATGGGCTCCAGTAACCACTTAGCACGAGGTGGGCTGTGAGCTCGTCCACTCATCTAAGCATAAAAAAAAGATATAGCCAACCTGTATATTCTTTGGCGGAAAAACCCTTAAACTAACAATGATGTTTTTTTTTATGACAATAATTTTTTTCCCACCTCAATATTCCTCTAAATTAATTAGTTTTCATAAACAAGTCAGCTAACAAATTGAAACATTTCAAAGTAAGACATGATATTCGCGTTTAAGTATTGAAGGATTTACTTTAAAAAAAAACTCACCTATAAGAAGTAGGATATACGTCAACAAAATAAGAACACACATTTCCGATTCCTATTGCCGTGGACTGCATCAAAATAAAGAAAATTATATTAGCGATGGGATGTTTGAGTTCCACTAGGATGCAGCTGACTCCGGATACGATCAGGATCCCGATTAGGAGCATTCGTCTTCTAGAAGCTCCTTGAGCCACGATGGCTGTCACCACGCAGAAGAAGAAACCGTAAAAAATACCAGAATAGATGGTGTTGTGGGAGATTTCGTCGTTGCAAATAACCTGGAAACGGTGTGATAATTTTGAATATCTTCGATTGATAATTAGTTTGATTTTTTACTGAGTCAACCGAGTGAACGAATATAAAGCTCATATTAGATCCGGTATCGTAGTAACTTCACATACAAAAAACGATAGGCCTCCTCTTCAACACGGGGATTCTTAATTTTTGAAGAAGAAACAGGCGCAGGGCTCCCGAAACATCTAAAAATTCATACGGCCATTATGTCGCAACCAGCTCATTTTGTAATTCAGGCCATACCATGACTCTACGAAGATGAACAGATCACCTGATATCGTAAAATGACTGTCTATAAGCCTCTTCCAATTAGTAACATCAAAAACTTACGGTAGAAGGCTATGGTCGGCAGTGTAACTTAAATTCTGTTGTGATAGACAACTATTACGCCGGTAAGAGCAACGCCATCTATTGTCGAATAGCAGAAACGAATATCAGAAGAACTATTCCAATCTAGCAGTGCAGCGCCATCTATTATCAAATAACGGAAACACATACAAACACATATTGAGAATGTTCTCGATAGTTCTAGGGAAGTGACGCGGAAGAAGCGAATTACGAATTGTAAAGTGTTCTGTGAGTGTTCTAAGTGTTAAATAGAGTAATAACCTGTACTTCGGTAGAATTTTTATTTATCCCGAACCCCAGCGCATAACAATACGTTAGGCGACGGAACCCGTGTTATGATATAGGTACTATTAACTTGGACTTGTAGCCAGTTAACATTTTTCTACCCATGCCAGTCACAAAATGACAATATTTTCATAATTATTAGTCCTGGTGCGGTGTACTATGAGCTCGTAAAGGCACAGTTATCCTACGTACTAGGCTGCACTAAAAGTATCGGGAATGGAATATTTCCAAACTTGTTTAGTTGTTGAGAAAATGGAATTGACTCGAAAAAATTCAAGAGCGATGATTTATTATGACTTTCGAAGTGGTTTAACACAAAAACAGTGTGTTGACCGGATGATTTCTGCATTTGGTGATGAAGCCTCATCCAAAACCACAATTTATCGCTGGTTTGCTGAGTTTCAACGTGGACGTGTCAAGCTCAGTGATGATCCCCGTCAAGGTCGTCCAAAAACTGCAGTCACCCAAGAAAACGTTGATGCTGTGCGTAAGCTGATTGAGGAAGATCGACATGTGACATACCGCGAAATTCAGGCAACTTTAGACATTGGCATGAGTCAAATACAAATAATCTTGCATGAACAATTAGGTGTAAAAAAGTTGTTTTCCCGATGGATACCGCATTCGCTCTGTGAAGAGCAAAAAGCGGCTCGCGTTACTTGGTGCGTCAGAACTCTCGAAAGATTCCACGCAGGATCCTCAAATGCTGTATACAACATTGTATCAGGTGACGAATCCTGGATATGCGCGTACGAACCCGAAACAAAAAACCAGTCACGAGTTTGGGTGTTCGAAAATGAGTTAAAGCCAATAAAAATTGTTCGTTCACGGAGTGTTGCAAAAAAATGGTGGCCACGTTTGTCTCCAAAACCGGCCATGTTACGACTATTCCTCTTGAGGAACAAAGAACGGTTAATGCAGAATGGTATGCTAGCATTTGTTTGCCACAGGTCGTTTCTGAACTCCGTAAAGAGAACTGCAACCGCCGCATCATCCTCCATCACGACAATGTGAGTTCTCACACCGCGCACAGAACAAAAGAGTTTTTAGAGCAAGAAAACATAGAATTATTAGACCATCCACCGTACAGCCCTGACCTAAGCCCTAATGATTTCTATACTTTCCCTAAAATAAAGAATAAATTGCGTGGACAGAAATTTTCATCACCTGAAGAAGCTGTGGACGCCTACAAAACGGCCATTTTGGAGACCCCAACTTCCGAATGGAATGGTTGCTTCAATTATTGGTTCCATCGTATGGAAAAATGTGTCAAATTTCGCGGAGAATACTTCGAAAAGCAATAAATACATTTTTAAATAGTAATGTTGTGTCACTTCGTTAATTCCCGAAATTTTCAGTGCCGCCCTCGTATTATTGTCGAGAAGCATTCTTGCTTGCCGGTTTGAAAGTTAAAGACAGCTCTAACATAATCCCATTGAGACTTCTATAGTTGGTTAGTCGAGTTGTTGGTGGATAGTCGAGCGTTGAATTAATGAGCCTTCACACAAGTTAAGTGAGTTTACAGAATTGGTGCAGTAAAAAATGATCTTGTGACTATTGAACAAGTCTTACTCTTAGCAGTGTATAAAGATACAAATGCTTTAAGGTGGGTAGTGTAGACTCATTATCGAGCAGGTCGTTGTACACCGATGTTTCTCAACATGGTGCCCACGCCCCACTAGGGAGCAATTCGATAACTAAGGGGGGCAATCGTACTAATTTATTATAGAAAATCTGTATTAAAATTATTTTCAATTTGAATTTTTGAAGTGAAACTTCCTTATCGGCGTTGGAAAAAAATTTACCGTCACATTTTTCGGTTACGCGTCACTTTTTTCCGTTACGCGCCATCTGTTTTGTATTCATGTCTATGATAATAAAATCCTTTTGTTTAAACTTTATCTAATTTAACTTTTTTGTATTCATGTCTATGATAATAAAATCCTTTTGTTTAAACTTTATCTAATTTAACTTTTTTGTATTCATGTCTATGATAATAAAATCCTTTTGTTTAAACTTTATCTAATTTAACTTTATTTAACCAATTTCTAGAAAGTTGCATGTAGATCATTTTTCGAAAAATAAGGCCATAAACAAGTTTCACTTCTTACGTGTGTACACTAGTACACGCACACATTTTTTATTATAATATATTGAAATATTACTTACTGTGTTCTGATAACAATTTCATAGTGATTTCTTCCTAAAACCTTTAACCTATTATAAAACCTTCCTAAAAACTATGTATGGGGGCATAATAATTTTAGACAAGTTACAGTGGGGCATGGCACGAAAAAGGTTGGGAAACACTGTTGTACACGGTTAATAATCGAAATAATTCTCAGTATGCACTCTTCAAATGTATTTAGAATGATTTAACAAATAATCTAATCAAAATCAACGCGCATCAATAGGATGAAAGCAGATTATTACTGGAACGCGGTGAGGGTGAAGCGATTTTATTAAATGACACTATTAAACCTCAGATAAATCAACTGACATTGACAGATTGTATAGTGCTGCCAACATCTATTTCCGAACACGCCCCAGTCAATTCTGACTTGACGTTCCACGACAAGCTAATTAACACCCTTGTACATATTTTCTTCACAACGCTTTGAATATTAAAATCTGTCAAAATGCTCACAGTGTCAGTGTAGTTTGAAGTTTTATTTGAGAAAACTCGTTCGCAGAACGTCTGATCGTTGGTCCAGACATCAGATAACGTGTTGAAGAATATATTCACCATTGTCGGGAACCACATGAAGAAAACGTTGTTTCTGAATGTAAAAAAAGATATATTTATATTAAAGATGTATGAATAATATGTTGCCTTTACGGCCAACCACTAAGGTGTTAAGAGTGAGTGAATCGAGCCAGGCCAAAGACAATAGAGGCTAGCCCACTAAACGGCTTCCCTGAAACCCTGCGGTCCAATCCCCGGCCGTGACAAAACCCGGGTAACGTTTTACCGCGGTCAACCCTACAGCCAGATTCGCGGCCAAGCGGAGCCATCGAGGCAAATGGCAGGCTCTATGTCGGCTATCTCAGTACACTGATTGCAAGGCCCACGTGGTGGTAATTGTCTACTGGAACCCATAAGCCACACAAGTTCAATGCTGCACCCTTTTTGGAACACGAGATTGAAAACCCATTTGTATGTCACGGTCTACTTCGACGGTCATTAAACGACTAAGGCAATCGTTCCCATATCTCATATCTCCAAGACCACACTTACATACTACAGCACAGTGCCATCAAATAAAACAGCTGGACCGTCCGCAACAACAATGGTGGTTTGAATATCGGCACGGTTTGTTCCCTAAGCGTTTTCCAGAATGTATTCTTCTCTGTAGTTAATTCTTCCGTTATTATATGTTTCACCTGTGAAAATTCGAAATTGTGCGCTGATAAGAATATTGCTGTAAGTTTACATTCAGGGACTAGAAATTGTGGATATTTTCTTAAAGAAAGGACAGTATAGGAAGCTAATGTTTTTCGAGTGTATGCATATGTATCTGATTTTTCGATCTAATATATTGGATACTATAGTATAGTATACAGTCTAAGCCTTTTGACGGATTCCAACATCTTAAATGTATTAGGATCGTCTCAGTTGTGGGATCAACATACTTGAAAAATTAAATACTAATAAATGTAAAGTTTAATACTGACAGGCCAGAAATAAAACACTTTTAAGTGCAATTTAGAAGATCTGTCTGCAATAGTAGTAATCGTAATAAATAAAATCCACGGAAAAGACACACAGCTACCTAGCCGCTAGCCCCAAACTAGGGTCCACCAGAAACCGATATAATATAAATACTTATATGTCGCAGTCTCAGTAAATTTTATCAATCGAGCTTATTAGGAAACGTCAACACTTGGGTAATCGATACAGCGATGACAACACTAGTTTCCAACGGTTTGACGTTTGAGGCTATTTGACAGTTGACGTTTGAGGTATCGTTTTGCGGTAAAGAAAGGGAACTCCGTCATTCTGTAGGAGAGCACCGAACCGAACGGTCGTTTTTTGGTCGCGTGCATCGCTGTAACAAACTTGCCGCGTTTCTCGGCCAATCTCAATCTATCGGTTCGATCATTAGTGCTTCTCTGTAAATTTGTTTGATACAGTGAAAATAAACATCTGTATGGATCGTTTCAACTGTCCAATCAATCAACCTCATAACGAGTCACCCTACCAAGCTCCATTATATATATATGTTTTAATATATAAATTACATACCCAGACAAAGAGAGAAGAAACAGAAAGAGTAAGAAACGAACCTACAACCCTCGGCCCAGCAGTCAGGGCCGCTAATGGTGGCGCAATAACCACCAAGCCGGTTAAAATTCCAATAACTTTACTAACGCTAAAATAATCACTTAATCATTTTTATTAACCACATAACATCAATTAGAACGTGAACTTAACTTCTCTTCAATGCCATAAATAATTAGACAATAGACTGGCATAATATTCACCGGATAGTCTTCTCTTTTTCCTCCGTTAGCAGCATAAATCTTCTTCAAGACTTCCAAAGCTTTATCCAGTTCCCCTTTATTCGCCAAAAACTTAGGGCTCTCGTGCATAAAGAGCATCAACAAAGCTCCTATACCCAGTGGTAAAGCCATGATGAAAGTGTACAACCGCCATGGTCGGTAAGTGATGCCCAACCACGGAACTTCCAGCTGAAAGCTCAGTGGAAGGATTAAGTACGCTAAGCCTGCAAAACAAAAATAGAAGTCATTAGAAATAAAGTCTTAGAAATAAATAATGGCAGCTGCTCTAACAACTTAGCGATCTTGTGGGATCCTTACTATTTCATATCTACATTTGACTGCGTCTTGTCAGGCAAATAGCTGATCGTAAATATGCAACATAAAGGTACAGCTAAACGCAATTTTCTTATTGCATTCCCGTCACCTGACAGTGCGCTGTCAATATCGTTCGTGGAGATGAGCAACTCCAGGGTCAAAATAAAGCTGCTGGCACTAAATCTGCTATAGTAAATACGACAGTGTTTTCGACTTAATCTTAACGTACTTACAAATCGTAGTTTATGGACCATAAAGCAAGCGCCAAGTGACCCATCCTCCCGTCGGAATTCGTAATTTCATTGTTGGGAAACCTCTAACGTGTCTTGTAATATAATATGCAATTATTTCACAACAAAATTGGTGTTAACGAACCATGCTCAGTAACAACATGCTTTATACCAGTAAACGTCTATTTACGGCCGTAGAAGTGTATAGACATAAATATTATCGCTCGACAATAACTCCCCCGTGCTTTTGAACATCAAAAACATGCCTTGCGACTCAGTATCACTTAGCTGTGACGCTAATGTGACAGACACCTCCCCGATACTGCTAACAACAACTGTATCGATTTCATCGCAATCAAGGGAAAGGTTTCTGATCGCATAGAGGACAAACAAACAGACGTGTAAACGAATATTTAATTATCATTTATATAAACGTAATCAGTATATTCCAAGTATTAGTGAAATAAAAAAATCAAACGTCAGTAATTAATGACGATTTATCAAAATCACTTATCGCGACATGCGGTGTCACGCTATGCTCTCATGGAATAGTCTAGGCTCGTGACAATAATTTCTATCATCATCATCATCTTAGGCCCCATAGCTCAGGGTTGACCTTAATCTGGTCTAGTATGTCTCTCCAGACTGTTCAGGGCTTTCTCCTTCCAGTTCTTGACACCAATAACTTTGAGGTCTTGCTCTACGCCATCTAACCATTGAAGTTTGGGCCTGCTACGACCTCTGCGGCCCTCTGGTTTGCCATATAGTAGTTATCTTGGCATTCTGGTCTCCGCCATTCGTACTACATGTCCTGCCCATCCATCATAGGCGTCCAGTTTTTATAGTTTTTTTATGATATTAGGATCCATAATAATAATTTAATAAGCTCTGTGATTAGACCAAAATATAACCAAGCTGTCAGCTTGCACAATTAGACCGCTATCATCGTAACAAGGTATCTATAAATAACTTAGTTAGAGTTATTACCCCCCCCCCCCAATTATACAAAAAAAAAACAGCAATGACGCACATTGAATGCACAGGATAATTAAATGAAGAAGGAAATTATTTGTCAAAATTAATGAGCTAATTTCGACAGGTCTTTATCTCGAAAGATAATCTTGGAATAAAGGCTGATTTCTGTAATGATCGTTTTCGGAATGCGAACTGCGAAACTATCGGAAAGCCGCAAAATTATCCAGAAGATCGGTCTGTTCATGTTTGGTTGATTTTAGAATTATATTTATATGTAATGTCGGCTTCATAATTATACTATTACACGCGTCTTCGCCCGCATGTTCAAGAAAAACTGTCATTATTTCATCTAATGTATCGTATGCTCCACGGAATAGATAAATAAGGTTGGAATGGTAATGTAGGCGGGGCAAGCGTGCCACAGTTATGATAGAACAAACATAACTCGACCGATTCTTTCATTCACCGCGTTTAGTGCGCTTCGGACTACTTGGCGAACAGATCTCCGCTTTATAGTGCCGTGTTGTGCAATTATAACTTGTAAAACAAAAAATCAGACCTCAAGTATAGAGCGAGGAGGTATATCTTTCGATCGGTAAGTCGAAATTACCATTTAATTACAATATTATTTGTCTAAAACATAAAAATATACTGAGCATTATGAAATTCCAAACATTAACAATATTATTGCAGCAAGTTATAAATAGCATACATTGCGCGATGTGTACTCGCCCAATGAACGCAATGACCAAGTCAGCTTCCAATGTACTACATGCATTGCGTTCTCTACACTTCAATCTTTGAAATTTCGGCCTTTGCCCTGATTGGCCGTGCAGTTTGTCGATAGTGAGGTGACCATGTGGTAAAATCATCGACAGAATTCTCGACTATATTTACATTTGACATGGATAATTTTTGCATTATTTTATATTTAATTAATGATACCTAGTATATTCTTAGTGAGACGTATTTTGAGTAAAATAAATATGTATTATTATTATTGAATTATTATCATTGAATTAAAGTGAAGGTATAATATAAAGGGACATGTAGACCTCTAATTTACGGGTATTTACTATATTGTCTAAGACGTATTAAAATCTAAGTAAAATGCTATTTGACTTATGCAGTAAATTAAAAATTTTAGGTTTCCTAAAGAACCTAACGCCAGGGAACAATGGATTGACGTGACAGGTAGAGGAAACTGGAGACAAAGACGAGTACTATTTGCTCTAAACATTTTACTGAAAATGATTTTATCATAAAAAAAATCAGAATACACTTAGTTTTGAAAAATTCATTCGCAATTAATAGCAAGCGCCAACTGCTTAACAAATACGTTTTATTCCAGCGACAGTGACTATTTGTAATTAATAAAAGTAAAATAGTTTTTTTTTTCAATATTTATTTCATGTTTCATTTTCTCCATTCATTCATCAGATAATTTATCGATAAAGAATATCGATTTTATCAAGCACTAGCGTGTATGAACATTTTTATTGCCTTTTTGCGTGTGTGAGTGTGTATGCCTACGGGTGTTTTGTGCTAGTTTGCGAACGAATATCTGTCCTGAGATTTATGTTGGGTGTTTTTGTTGTGTGCGAAATACTTGTAATCACAGTGTGTGTATGTGTAGAAATTAAAATAGTGGGGATGAAGCGGCGACACTGGTTCTAATACAAAATTAGAGCAAAGGCCTTTCCAACCTTATTTATCTATTCCGTGGTATGCTCTTTCTAAAGATAATAGATCAGTTTTCCGTGGGAACGAGATGTTTTTCCATCATAAAATATAGCCTAGGTCACTCTCTTGTTCTGAAGACATTACATTACAAAAAAACATCTCATTCCATTGCTTCGTGAACGAAAAACAAGAAAACACGCCTTCACATTTTTAAGTAACTAAAGAACAAAGATTTTATCTTTCTTTAAAAGTATTTTATCTTCGACGGTACACACATAAATCACCGTTTAATTTATACACTATGACGAGAAAACACTATTGTTAAAATGGCGAAGTATGCTTTCGTACACAATACAAGAAATTGTAGTTAGAATTTAAGGCCTTTTTGGACACTTAAAATTGAATTCTTAATTCGATTTGTTCAACGAATTTTTGAGTGCAATAGGAGCGTCTGTTGAGTAGGGGCCTTAGAACTACAGATAAGGTATAAGAATAGCAATTTTTTGGTGACTTACTGAATGAAATAATTTCTGATGATAAATTCACGCTGTTCAACATGAAGAGATAAACGTTTCTGTGACTTGAGCCGGTGCATTCGCCGAGCAGGGTGATTACCAATGTGAAACTTGCCGTGGAACTAAAACGAAAATAATATTAAAATGTTTCTCTGTAATAGGCTGGTAGCGTGCTGGCTCTGTGACCAGTGCGCTTAGTGCGAGTTTTTTAACGTTCTCGATAGCGTGAAAGTTAACTCGAGTTTGTATGGAGTTCGAAAGTTTGGCTACGTTTGGCGCTAGAGGCGCTGTTCCAATTGCATACAAATTTCAGTTAAATATCGCTACGCTACGCTTACGTTTTCGAGAACGTTAAAAACACGCACTAAGCAATCTAAGCATACAGGTGGCATTATACAAATCTGTCTACAAACACAGTAAAAAAAGCAGCTTCGTTGTGTGGTCTATGAACTCAATACACACGATCACAAGAAATCACGCAAATTCATCTTTCCAAATTCATTTTCTTGGTTTTTTTTTATTGTTTAGAGGGGTTAGACGAGCTCACAGCCCACCTGGTGTTAAGCGGTTACTGGAGCCCATAGACATCTACAACGTAAATGCGCCACCCACCTTGAGATATAAGTTCTAAGGTCTCAGTATCGTTACAACGGCTGCCCCACCCTTCAAACCGAAACGCATTACTGCTTCACGGCAGAAATAGGCGGGGTGGTAGTACCTACCCGCGCGGACTCACAAGAGGTCCTACCAGTAATTACGCAAATTATAATTTTGCGGGTTTGATTTTTATTACACGATGTTATTCCTTCACCGTCGAAGTCAATTCTGAACAATTGTTAAGTACGTATTTCATTAGAAAAATTGGTACCCGCCTGCGGGATTCGAACACCGTTGCATCGCTATATATGAATGCACCAGACGTCCTATCCTTTAGACCACGACGACGATATACAGGACCTCATTTATAATAATACGACTAGCTTGAATAGCTAGCGTGAAAGACCCGTCGGAAGATGCAAAGTCCTGGCTGGTGGACATCAGGGAGCGAACAAAGATCACCAGCAAAGAACAGTTTCCCTGGACGACAGTTAGAAACAAGTTTATATTATTGTCGGCCCGCCTCCAGGAGTGCATGGCCACAAGAAGAACGAAGTTCACGTTACGTCTAGTTTGACGATTATCCCAGGTGTTACACAATCGAAATGGCGTCACAACGGCTGATTGATAAACCAATTCGAAAAATCGATAATCTCTAATACCGAGTCGGGGATCCAAAGAATCGAGAAGTCGATTGAAATTTCCTACCGATTGATATTTTTTTCAATTATCAACACATCAGCAACCAAACAGTCGTTACAACTGTAACACTCCTAAAAATACTTTCATTAGAAACTATCAAATATTAAATTAAAAAAAATAGATGATTAAATATGAAATATCAAATTAAAAATCGATAAAATGATTGAACAATGAAATTAAATATTGTATTAAGGAAATAATTATATTGACAGACATAGGACAGAAATGTATATTAGAGTTGCATAGCGCACGTGAACAATGACGCCATCATTCGCATTGTATCTAAGACGAAATTAAAATAGTAATTATTTCCTTATTCCCCAACAGATTTTACTTTCGTTTACAGTGAACGGTAACACTAATTACATATTTTGGTGGTTAAAGGTGTTTATACATTTTAAGAAAATAATCTTTATAGTTTTTGTTAAATAATTGTCATAGCACCGCATGTTGTTACTATAAATTATTGTCATGTACCTACTGCACGATCTGAATTAATTATAACCATTTTAATGTTCTCATTTAAGTGAATTTGTGTAATTCTTTTGAGAATAAAGAATATCTTTAACCCGAAAGTGATTGATGGGCTTTAAAAATAATATCAGAGGGCTTAAAATTAAATATTATGTTAATGGTCACCATTTCACCGAACACATACCTTATCAGTCAACCGCGTTTCTATACAATTAATGTTGCATAACAACCAATACGATTATCACAGTAATAAGAAAATGTCTCGCTTCTTTTGTCGTACATAAAAAGAATTCAAAGTTGATCAAATTTGGAGGAAATAAACCAAAATCATTACGAAAGGTCGATTTGGGTTATTTACATTAAAACATTTAAAACGTTGTATTAGGGGAGGTTTGAAGAAGCCGATACCAATATAAAACATATTTCAACATAATATTATTATGTTGTAAAATTTTCTCGGCATCCGCATTTCCTCTTATGCAATTTAGGATATTGAGGTATTTATTTGTCAAAATAAAAGAGGGAATTTAAAACATTAAATGAATCTAAGTCTTGGAGTGGCAATGTTTATGTCGATTTTTAAAATATATTGGATTTTTATATACTCACTAGTACTTTTACTAGTAGATAAATTTTTATGTGACTCATTATCGGCAAAAAACCGACAAAATCTAGTTATAGCCGGTTTTTGTTGATAAGTCCTTTTGCTGTTTCGTATAAGCGAAATTATTTTTAAAGTTGACGGTATTTTTAATTTATCATATAATAATCAAAATGCCAATCGATTAAATTTGTTTTCGTAAGATAGTTCAGGACGAGTTGTAATCGCATCTAGATTTTTTCACTATTTTCTAATTTAATTGTGATAGTTAACTAAAGTATGAATTTTCATTGTATTCGACCATGGAGACAACGCGGCATTGTCATCTCCTGTGCTCTTTCAAAGAGAGAGGGAGCGAAAGAGGGGAAGGTAGGAACACTGCCCCGATCACCCACTCTGAGCAGTTAATATCCCGAGCAAGGAAGGTCATGCCTTACGAAAATCGGCAGACTTTACAGCATGTTGCATAATGGCTATAAACAGTATTTTTTATGATGGCCCAGAGGCCTTTCCAGTTTCAACAAAACAGGTGGGTGAGCAAAGGCTCCGCCAGGAGGGGTAGGATTTGCTAACAGCTGCCCGAGCGCCTCCAAAGGAGACCTAACAACTCAAGAGCAACTGCTTCGCGAATGAATCTACTACCGGATCGGAATCGCGACCCGCTGAGAAGATCCGGCGAAAAACTCAGCGGGCTGATGAATGGGTTAGGTTGCACGAATTGATAAGCAGTCTCTTACTAATAACATACTTGACAATTTCACATACGCCCTATTATGAGCTATGCAAATTGCGTATGCGTTAGGTCTAATGGCACATACACAATTGCAATCTGGTATCTGTAGGATAGTAGTCAGTGCAACGTGGTACGTGAAGCATAATAGCGACGGTCTGGGCTTCGAAACCATCCGTATATAAAGACAGCGTTGAAACTCTACTTCGCATTAGTAGGTCGATACACTAGAATGTCTCTCAGTTCAGTGTGTCTATTGATAAAGGCCTCCTCTAACATCTTTCACTGCTATCTATCTTTAACAACCCTCCAAGTAACACCAGTTAATCTAGTTAATTCTTTATATAATACGGCTTAAGCCATGACCATAATAATATGTCGATAGAATTACGGGCACTACAGAAACATTTATCTTAATTTTTTTTAAATTTACAGACCTTATATTTGTTTACATACTAATATTAATAATATTAAATAATAATAATAATAATTTAATAACTAAAATATATTATTAAAAGGAGTCCCTTTAGGCAAGATTCCGAAGATACTGGCAGCGTTCCCCCTTTGAATAGCTAGACTAATTCTTTGTCCAAGATAGTTGCCAGCTCTTCGGTCTCCTATCTTAATTTGTTCTATTCAAAAAAAATAACTTCTCAATTGACAACGAAAACTTCCGAAATGTTTCCGTAACCTCTCATTTTGTCATCATCACCAGCCAGTGGCAAATCACCTAGTATCGTGCACGTGTGTGCATAGCTAAGTCAGCCGGAATGACAGTCAGTTGGAGTTGCCAAACTTAAACTGAAAACTTACAAACCGCATCCAAATAGCTTAGAGGCAAACATAAACTGCCAATTCATTGACAGACTACTTAAAGCCGCAAACAGGAAACCGAACGACGTGGAGATCAGTAAAGCCTTCCTTCGTCCTCTTGTGTCCGCGTAGAAGCCCCAGGGAAAAGCAAAAAGCAATCCTGAAAAATATCGAATTACCAATCAAAAAAGAATTTCAAATGACCATTTCGATGACACTGTTGTTCACAAAGAAAAATCAGAATCAAAATTAAAGAGCGCCTAAATGCGGTATACAAACTTTAATACAAGTTAACCATTTATGAGTTTTCTTCCAGCAAATTAGATATAATATCTATGGATGAATCCTCCATCCTGTACTCCATACATCCATTTTAACTGGTGGTAGGACCTCTTGTGAGTCCGCACGGGTAGGTACCACCACCCTGCCTACTTCAGCCGTGAAGCAGTAATGCGTTTCGGTTTGAAGGTCGGGGCAGCCGTTGTAACTTTACTGAGACCTTAGAACTTATATCTAAAGGTTGGTGGCGCATTTACGTTTCATGTCTATGGGCTCCAGTAACCACTTAAAACCAGGTGGGCTGTGAGCTCGTCCATCCATCAGAGCAACAAACAAAAACTCCACTTAATTGTTACTCGACACATCCATTTCAACATTGCAATTGACTTCTACATATAAACCTGAAATAGCTGAAATAGAAATACCTGCTATACACCTATTCAAAGGAACACAAAACAATAGGGAACCAAAAGCCCTCAGTTACAGTAAATTCCAATTCTTTGTCACTCACCAGCAAAAGGCGCCGATGCAAGCAAACCGGTCTCCTTGAGCCCTACGCCGAGATCACAGCTAGAAGCGGCCACTACCACGCTGTACCCAAACATGTCTATGGCCACCGCAACAACGATAATACTACCCACTCCCAACAGTGTGTAGTTGTACCGGCCATGCCCTGAAATAATTTTATTAGTTCTTATCGTTTGATGATTATTGCCCTTCACTCTTTGCTTCTATTCTTTCTCTGTTTTGTACAGTTTGATCTATGGAGTGCTCTGAGATATTGTTTGAGGTAATCCCGTCATTTCGTTTTTACTATCGCACCGCCACCACCGGGGCAGAGTTCATCCATGCCACCCGGAACCACTAGATCTCCAGTGCGTTTCCAGAGATCTTTACTGACACGCACCATCTGGCTTTGGTATTTACCTCCCCACTACGGTGTTTCCTGAGCGGAATGACATCGTCTTTTCGCATTAAAAGTGTACAATTTCCAAAAATATTCGAAATTCAGTTAATATGCGGAATCATTTGATATCAGCACTATTTTTCTCATAAATACTGTCAAAAGAGCGTAATTTAGTTTTTTTTAGTTGTACTTATGTTTCGACTACTATTAACAAAATTAATACATAATTTTAATTTACTTTAAAAGACAGATAATGTAACTGGTAAAAAATAAAAAATAAATGCTTAATATTAAAAATATCACATGTTAAACCTTTAAAACACTCTCCTGTAAAATTAGTAAGTTTTGAGATTATACAGTTTTTATGCGATGTCTTTCATCAAACGACGCTGCCCCTTCCATTGCCGACAACCATGAGCTACGATAACCACTCACCATAAGGTAGGGCATAGGCTCGTCTGCATACAATGGCAGTAAGGAAATATAACCATTTTTACTATAGTCTAATCTCCTGTTTATTAATTTTATATTATGGTTTTCACCGTTTTGATTACTATACAGTTACATTACAGCCAACGGCTGACCAAACTCTTATTCCTCGACATTGAATATCTATCGCGCTAACTACCATCTATCTATTTAGATAAAAATGAATTGCTATTCGTTAGTCTCGTTCGGTAGTCCAGAGATGGTTTAAAAGGTAGATAAATATGAAAATGCTCGGAATTAAATAAAAATAACAATTTTGCTTTTCCTTTATTGTGTCCCCCGTCGGACGGATTCCTTTTGTTTGTTTTAAGTTTATTTTATACAAAAGTTTAGGTCCTTTATTTATCGATTGAGGCACTACGAATATATACTCAATAAATATTTTTTGCTAAAAATTATTGACTGCAGTTAGAAGGAATGCTGTAACATATTTTAAACGTCAGGTTAAACCGTAAAAATACATTTAATTACGAATACGACAGGCGAAAATCGAAGAAATCCCATTGCTTGACTCCAGATGATGGGACCATTCGGATAGTCGAGAAGCCCAACTCATTAGAAACAGTCATTATACTGGTAATAGTAATAGTAATTACTAGTGGTAGGATGTCTTATGTGTCCGCACGGGTAGGTACCACCGCCCTGCCTGTTTCTGCCGTGAAGCAGTAATGCGTTTCTGTTTGAAGGGCGGGGCAGCCGTTGTACTGTAAAAATTTACCTTAAAACTCATGTCTCGAGGTGAGTGGCGGCATTTACGTTATAGACGTGTATCGGCTCCGGTAACCACTTAACACTAAATGGGCCGTGAGCTTGTCCACACGTCTAGGCAATAATAAAGACATAGTACGTATAGTCAAAATGTGAATATAGTCAAAATGTGAATCGCGAAATTTCATACATACGGTATTCATCTCTCATAGTAATTGCACTCATAGTACGAAAGCCGTCGTATATCAAATTGAAATTTTAATTTGAAACAAGCAGTGACGTTCTTAGTAGATTTTACGCGACCCAGACACTTTCTGCTCTGAACAAGCGTTAGTTGAATTATTAACGCCACCAAAAAACGTATTGAAGTAACTATAAAAAAAATATTTAAAAAAAACTAACAAAATACGCTTTAATAGAAAATCCAACTAAAACATAGAAAATAAATTTTAATTAAAAATAGTGTAAGAAAAAAATTTTTTATTGTAAAAAAAGCGTGTTTTTTTACAATAAAATCATTTTTAGTTGGATTTTCTATTAAAGCGTATTTTGTTAGTTTTTTAAACTATTGTTTATTTTTCGTTTTTTAGTTGATTTTCAATTTTTTCAAAATTTTTTTTATATATTTTTTTTAAATATGGAATTGTCATCAATCCTTAATAAGTATACCAAATTTCGAGTTAATCCGACGTTTTGAATGGAAACAAACTCATGTTCAAAGATTCCATTACATACCTACTAACATGGTAACATACATACGTCTGAAACTAATAAAAGCGTATTAAAAAAGAACCACACCAGCTAATTCCACCGCTTCGTCGTAACCACATGAGTCGGTAACTTTACCAGAGCAGCCATCAGTTACAACCACTTCTTTATTCATTGTTGAAAATCACAAAAAAAAAACATTAACAATAGTAAAACTATTTAATATATTGACTCTTGTACATTGCTCTAAAAACATAAGAGCGACTGATAAATATATATCTTTAAGATGCTATCTGAGAAATAGATCTATATATCTTTATGTTGCATGTTTTTATCTCATTACATTCGTTATCATTACGTTGAATTACAGGCTTTGCAATTTGTTTTTGTTTATCCTGAAACAGGATTTACAATTAACTTCATTATTTATATACCGTGTGTTCGCTTCTCATTTAACGTAACTTTAGCAATGGGACTCTGAGCAAGACATTTTTAATGTTATGCAACATTGATCATTAATTAAAAGAGATAAAAGTCGTCGCGGCCTAAAGGATGAGACGCCCGGTGCATTCGTATCGAGCGATGCAATTTTGCCGGTGTCCGAATCTAGGCAGGCAATTCATATAATGAGATACGTACTTAAATCACGTTCACGAAAGACAAAAAATAATAATTAGCGTAGCCATTAGTTTTTTTTTAAATTGACTAAGAGCCTATAGCTTTTTATCCCGATATCCTTTGCCCAAGGTGTCCACATGTGAATGGATTTCCTCCTTCAAATCGGCTGATATCGCAAAGCTAATATTTACACAGTTCCTTCCGGAATAATAAACAAACAGCACTTTACTAATTAATCATGTATCCGATAGAAAAACTAGCGCGGAATAGCACAGCTAACATTGATTAAGATCGGATTAATTGAATTTATTACGGAAGGCGACCATAAATCTCGTGTGTTGTATTAATAAGTTTCTTCAATAATCGGTACACAATTGTTCAATTTAATAACAGAAATTTCAGACTCTTTTACTTTATAATTTTAGGATTTTGAGAGTGGACTGTATATCCATAGATGGCTGGTTCAAATCTGGTTCGAAGGACCATGTAGGATTTTGAGAGCGGTGAAACTGAATTTGAGGGCTGTTTTATTAATAAAACCTCGGTGTGCGTGTATTTTTCATGACTATTCATGAGGCAAAGAAGGAACAACTGTATTACCAACTCAAAAATAATCAAATTTTAAAACAAACGTGTTTGACAAAAATGGCAACAGTTATATCATAATGATATTGTCATCAAAGTCGTAATACCCTCATTTATATTCCTGCGGTGAAGGGCAGTGGTTTGAAGGGTATGTGACAGTCATCATGCGATCAAAATTTAGTTCACATATTAAGGTTTACTTCTATCGAGACCTATCTTTATAAATCCTAGTACGGAAGTTGTCATTTGTCGTGGATTTCCCGACCCTCATTACTAAAACACCGGCCAATATCCGGTTTGCGTGAATAATACTTAAAGCATAGAATATTTATTTGCGTTAGGTTGGGCACAGCCAAACGATGACAGCTTTGTCTAGTTTTCAATCATCTTCATCATCATCATAATCGGTTGCTCTTGGCAGAGCAGTCGTGGAATTCTTGCTTATTAAAGCCTTGACAGATGTTTTCCATAGTTTGCGAACCGAGGCCCGGCGCACACGCTCGTTAAGTGGAGTTTCAGTAAAGTCTTTCACCTGATCAGTCCAACAAATGGGGATTCATCCACGACATCTCTTACCATCGACCCTACCCTGAACAACAAGTTTCTCGATAGACGCTGCTGGTCGTCGCGATACATGTCCAAAATGTCGAAGAATCCTGGATTGCACTGTTGAGGATAACCTGTGAGTTTTTAATAGGTACGATAAAAATAAAAAAGTCTACATAAACAGGTTCTCAAAGGATTTTGAAGTCTACTCTAGTTCAGCTAAGAGATCCACTCGGCGAAATTTATTTGTCATACGAAGCACTTCATTCATCATCCATCATTCGCGTTTGCTAAATTTCTAGTGACTGTCTAGACCAGTGATTCTCAACCACTGTTCCGCGGCACTTTTGTGTGCCGCCAAATTTCAAAAGTGTGCCGCCAAATTTTGCGAATATATAACAATGTTAATATTATTAAATTATATAATTTTAAAAGAAAAATATTTTAAACATGAATATATATTAAAACCACAAATTTTAGTTTATTTCGTATATAAAAATTTTTTGATAAACTATTTATGTAGTGTGTTGGAGTAAGTAAGTATTTTTTTTCTTTTTTTTTGTGTGTCGCCAAATTTTGACATCGTTAAATATGTGCCGCAACAAAAAAAGGTTGAGAATCACTGGTCTAGAGTAATGTTGACCATAGTGACACTTAAACAGATAAATGACAAACAAACATGACCAATAAACACATTACACACATGTATCTACAGTAAGTACTTTATCACGGCGTGTTTTAATAAAAATCTATGTCTAACTCAAATACAGTAAAGTGATGTTCTTATCATCTTATTATCTACTTCTAGTTGTGTAACCCTACAATGTATTTGTTTGATGCTAGAAACAAAAGAAAACATGTTGAATTTTAATACAGAGTTTTCGTCATGTCAATGTGGTAGATAATGAATACGACATTGACAATGCTTTAACAGGTGCAAATGAAGAGATATTAATAATTAAATGTTCTACATTTAATTACCTTAACCTAGAATTTCTTCCTCTGGATTCCGAAAACACAAGACCAGAAACAATATCATGTATGATTAAATGTTTTTTTTTTCATTAATTGCTCAATAGGGCTCTCTAAGATAACCAATTTTTTGGATCAATTAGCAATTAACATAAGACTCTCCGCGGTACCTACCCGTGCAAACTCACAAGAGGCCCTACCACCAGTAATTACACAAATTATATTTTTTTATAATTAAAGCACTATGTTATTTCTTCGCTGTCAAACTCTTTCGTGAATAATCGTCAAGTAATCATTAGAAAAATTGGTAACCGCCTGCGGAATTCAAACACCGGCACGGTCGCATCGCTCGATACGGAAGCACCAGGCGTCTTATCTTTTCGACCACAATGACACAAGTATGTATTTCAGTCACTCTGTTCTTATAGTACAGGGAATCTTAGTTTGGGACCAGACTGTATGTATCCCTGATTATCTATACTAATATATAAATCTACAGTGGTTTTTACGGATGTTCCGTTATAACTACTGAACCATGCATTCGATTGACTTGAAACTTGGTATCCATGTAGAAAATACATGTACTTAATGGATAGGCTAATATTTATAAGAGTATTGGATTCCCTAGACCAGGTGCGGGGGCGTTCATGATGAGAATGTTTGTGGGGGTGAGAAATAATAATGTTAATTTTAAATGCCCAGAGAAGCGTACGGGTACAGCTAGTCTATTTAATGATAGATCGAAACAAACATTTAAACGATATTGCAAGAACCATACACGACGAAATAGTATTCTACTCCCTGGAGAGATGTCACATTTTTCTGTCTCCTCCGTAATTAATTAATTAGGGCTCTAACATTTAGCGAACTTTTTGCCACCACTGAGACCAAAAGTGATCTTTAATTTTGTTGTGGTTGCCCCACCCTTCAAACAGGAAGGGCGGAATAGGCTTCAGTATTAAGTAGCTTTAGTACTAACTAAATAGGAGAACGGCAAATCTAAAATCCCTCTTATTCTATGACAAGCCCTAGGAGTGGCCTTTTGCTGTAGTTCACAACTAGGTCAAATACACGTACAAAAGACGTAATAAATAATTTAATAGAAATTGTATTTAATGTTAGTGTAGTCTGTTGTGTGTATCTAAACATATATATGTATGTACATAGGTGTACATAATGTAACAATGTTGTTTTTTTAAACTTTATTTGTACTCTTGTGTAATACAAATTTTTTACCAATAAGAAATCCGAATTCAACATAATAAAATGTAGTAGGTATCATCAATGTAATGGAAGTCAATAAAACATTCATTATTAAGTAGCCACCGGTCAGATCTTGATAACCTTTAAATGGGACCACATGAGAAGCACCAACCAGCATTCAAATAAAAAAAAAGATTAGGTGTAAAAAGTCCTGAGGGAACATCGGCTTCGACTGGGTCCTGCGTGGCGCCCTACGGGGTCCCCTCCCCGGATTGACTGTAGTCTGTTACGCCGACGACACCTTGGCCATGGCTCCGAGGAAGGACTACCGAGAGGCTTCAATCTCGGCGGTCCGTGCTGGAGGCGTGGTTTCGTCGTATGGCGGACCCTCGGCCGGCTTCCGCACCGTGTCGAGGCTGTCCGCCCGGTTCTCGCGGACTGGGTGGGCTGTAATCGCGGATGCCTCACCTTCCGGCTGGCGCAAAGGTTGACCAGACATGGATGTTTCGGCCACTACTGACACAAGACAGCCGGAAGGGAACTGACAGTGCAGTGCTACCATTGCGCAGACAGCGACGAGGATGACACAGCTAACACACATTGGCGCGTTGCTCTGATTGGTAGATACGAATGCAACGGACGTCTTATCCTTTAGGCCATGACGACGCCCTCTTCTACCTCGCGACGTATTCCTCAATGCTGAGGGAGGTATTAATATATAATATTCAGTCAGTGAACGATAAATCCCAGACGCGTTCTTATAAAGACAATGTTGAAAATAGATTTAGGTTTCAGATTGTACAGTAAAGAACTATGATTAGAATCGCATTTCTAATTAAATAACACAATAATTAATATGGCGTCGTATCTATAAATCACAGCGGCTTATCGGAAGAGACTTATCGTTAAGATAAAAAAACGGTTATTAACCGTCACACTGATTTTTAAATTAAAATTTTCAACTTATGATACGCATCAAGTCTTGTAGCCTCTTAGTTAAAGGAAACGAGATACATTAAGCAGATAAAATTGCTATAAACAAAACATTAGTACATTATCAAGTGATTTTTGAAGTTTTGGTATCTTATTTATTTTTTAGACGCACATACGAACCCTCCACAGCCGAACTTATATACAAGACCATGAACGTTGAGATGAAGAAGATAACCCTCAAACCGAAACGCTCGCAACTGAATCAAATAGAACGGTGGTGCTTTTCCGATTCGGGCTTACTTTTCTTACTGGTGGTAG